ACTCAGTTTCTCAGTCAGTCATTTGGTACACGCCGCTACTTTGCTGTAAGACCGGACTCGCCCGCCTCTGGCACAGTCAATTTTGTAAGCCCCCTCGCCAAATCGGCTGTTCCAAGGGGAGCTGCATTGGTTAAAATAATTGCCTAGACAACCGAGGCCACATAACTCAGGTCAAGGGGGTATAGCAGTTCACTTGGCCCCAGTATTGGCATGACAGTGTCGCAGAGCCGGGGACAACAGCAAACAGGTTAATTCGAACTGGTGTTAATGGAGGAGATGGCCGGCGCTGGTGGGTGGGCAGGTGAAAAACAAGTATTAGAACTCGCCATAGAAACAGTTCCGATCACCCAACAATACATCGAGGTGGTCCACCCTCCGCCATCCCGTCTCGTCAGGACTGTCCAGTCGTATTTAAGCGAATACCTTTTGACTACTCTGAGGTGGCACTTGGGTATAGGCCCATCACACAAGCAAGCATACCCCCCTCTCTCTCTCACACACACACATACACACACACACACACAGAGGCAAGTACGTAAGTTCGTCGCCTCTCGCCGACTTTGTGAAACAATGAAGGAGCACAAGTGTGCAACAGAATGTGCTGGAGGGGCCCAACTAAGCATTATGTACCACTTCAGGCAGGACCAGAAGGAGATTATGGCTGTGTGGACTATTGTGGACAATCCAAGGGATGTTCGTGGCCGATTTGCCGCTCTTTAGCGGCTTTTGCCTAAGGTTGAGAACTGTTTTAGCCCAGGAAATAGTTGAAGACTGTGCTGTATGGTTAGTGTATAGGAAGGAATGAAGAGTGATGCAATGAAGATACTTTTTCGTACCGATCCGTACCCTCGTTGCGCCTGAAATGTTTCAAATGAGGCATGTGCTTTATGAAAAATATATCATCGAGAAATGGAAATCCTGATAGTGGATAATAGGCCTAAGAGGAAATGCAATGGAATGGACTGGTTCTGAGCAAATCAAGTAAAATCACGAAGATTACTTGAATGCACAGCCTCATGAGTCAGTTGGCTCTAGCACTAGTAGAGGCCCTTAATAAAATCAAATGTAAAAATAGCACGTTTTTAGGCTGTACCCATTCAAAAGACCATTCAACTGGTAAGAAATAAAAATAAAATGAGCCAAGCCGACAAATAGTATCATGCGATTTTATTTATTTGCTATACTAGGAAAATGCGAACTCTTACAAACTTCAGACTTTGAGGATGCCAACATTTTGTGACTCATATCGCCTGGACGCAAGTTTGGTAGGCTGGGGGAGGTTTGATACAGGGGCTCCATGAAAAAGTCTCCGTATCCTGGCGCCAAGGAACTGACGAGCGAAAAATGTAAAGCAGCAACACGCATTGCGAGGTTCATTTTCTCTAACTCTGTGAGACCATCTCCTCGGTCACCGATATGCTGAGTCATATCGAACCCATCAGAATCTTGCTTCCATATAAGAGCGAAATAATTGTAGATAGCCAAGGGAGGTCCTTCCCCAAAGCGACCAAGAAATTAGCTTAAGTGTCATACAGCACGCTAACGAACCGTCGCGTCGTGTAGGTTATAAATTTAGAATATTGTGGCATGACTTTCCATTTCGAATGGAAAGTTGGTTGGAAGGAATTCGTGATGTGGTCTCACCGGAACCGGAAGAAGGACTGTCGTGTAGGGAAGACTGTTGAATTGTGTGAAGAAGTCCTCGGCTCACCGTCCTTTCATCGGGTTCGCAGGACGGTGAGTCGAGGAGTCGTGCGCACAATTCAACAGTCTTCCTTACACGACAGTCCTTCTTCCGGTTTCGGTGAGACCACATCACGAATTCCTTCCAACCAACTTTCCCTTCAAAATGAAGAGTCATGTCACAATTTTTTATTGAGGAATTTTTCGAAACCCACTTTGCCTCCATAAATTTAGAGTGGTGTCAACTCCAAGGATGTTCTATGAAATACTTTAGGGATTTACCAAGGATGCGGAAAGGATACCACTCTCCAATGTAGCCCTGAACAATGATTATACGTCCTGGAGAGCGTAGATAATACTATTTAACAGAAATACAGGCTAGTGGTACATATGCTAGCCGGAAAGAAGGGAGGCGACGAAAAGTAAAAATATTCCTTGATTCTTCCTTCAGTTAATTCGGGTAATGTTGATATCATTTACTCAGGCATGTCCATGACTTACCGTCATTGAAAAGAACACAGCGCCGTAGAGTTCATGGAACTTCACCAAGTCCAACAGCTGGTACTCCGCTACAGCTGGATGCCGCCCTCTAAAGTAAATGGACAAGCATGAAGCGATGCAGAGCGAGTATATTTCGAAACTATCAAAAGATCTGTAAAATAGGCCGCTATAACTGATAGTGATCTTTAATGAAGCGATCCGTACGGAATAAACTAATCTCCAAACCTGAAAACAGCTGTCATTGATATCGCTCGAGCCTAAAGTAAATTAATACCGTATCAAAAGGTGTGAGCATGATAAGTAAAGCCGAGTGAGTTGTTTGGGCTTTTAGCCAACATACCCTTTAAATAACTAACTGAAACAGAATGGATCAGGTAATTATTTGCTTTAAAAGGTATGAAGACCAAGATGGTGTGACCTTTTGTGTGGTCGCAGTCTCCTTTCGTTGTATAGAAGATGCCTGACCTTGTTTTTGCTAATTGGTCCTATTGGCAGGAAAACTTAGAGCAACGCAACTTTTCCGGAGTCCATTGCATACATGATCATTTCCAGAGTAGGACCGTGGACGTGGCACATTTCCAGAAGTTTCGCCGGCAACTTTGGAAATGATCATACAGACAATGGACTCCGGAATAGGTGCATTCGTCTAAGACTTCCTG